GCATACATATAAGCATAACATAAAACATTATCAACAAAATAATAAATAGAAACATACCTATCACAACATCTGGAGCTGCTCTGGCCTCCTCGACAGTGAGTTGAAAAGCACGACCCCGAGCCCTCGAGGGCTCCGCCCTCCACTGGCGCTCATCGATGATCCTCAAAGTGTCTGGCGTCAGGGCATGCATCGACTTGGCGGCGAGCAATGGGCAGTTGACCTTCACATGGACAACCTGATCACAATGATAGAAAATCCTAGAACTCAGAGTTGGGGCCGGCTGGCGGAAATCCCTCGCATAGTGCCCCTCATTGCCACATTTGTGGCATACGCCTCCTAATCGACAGGACCCCTCATGAACCGTGTCGCACTTCCCATAAGTGCAGCCCCTCTGCCCTCCAGATCTAGAATCAGCGGCCCAAAACCGCCTCGGTGTAGGCTGCAACTGCGTTGGGGCCGGTCTCTGCTCCCTCGTCTAGAGCTCCATCTCAATCTCATGCCGCCTGGCGGCCTCCTGCAACTCCAAAAAGGAACCATAACGCTGAGTGGATACAAACTGCCTGATATCCGTCTTGAGCATGCTCAAGTAACGGGTCATGTGAGCCTGCTCAGAAGCAGCAAACTCAAAACAAAACATGGTCCTCTTCGTGAACATCTTGGTGATCTCCGTCACGAACTCGGTCCCTTATCGACGATCCAAATACTCTTGGGCCAACCTCTCACGCTCCACCAATGGCACATATCTAGAACGGAACATCTCCGAGAACTGATCCCAAGACACAGCAGCTCTCTGCTCAGTAGAATACGAACCAATAATAAGTCTCCACCAATCCTTCGCTTCGGACCTCAAAAGGTTCAAAGCGCACCTGACCTTCTGTTGAGCTGGGCAAGAGCAGGTGAAGAAACACCCATCAATGTCAGACAGCCACCTCATGGCTATGATCGGGTCCTGAACTCCATCAAATGTCGGGGGCTTCGTATTATCAAAGTCTCGATACTGGAAGACTCTCCTAGCACCAACCCCAACAGCGGCAACGGATGCAACAGTAGCAGCCTCAGACAAAGTAGCATAACGCTTATCAAAATACTCCACCTTGGCGGTCTTGATAGACCCGAACATCTCTGGAATTTGTGCTCAAAAGTGAGCAACAACCTCCTCCTAAATAATATCCCCAATCCTGTCCTCGGACACAGCAGGCCCACCCTGACTGCCAACCCCCGATCCCGATCCGGATCCAGCCTCAAATCGCCTCGTCATAACCATACTGAAAATAACCATGGAGATATCAGATAACACGCATATCACATCATGGGACCAACTCCCAACAAAGCCCTAGGTTGTGACTTCCCTGTTACGCGTACGAGTCTTGTGCTTTCAGTAGTACGGGCCCATACTACCTTCCACACCTACCCATATTTGTCTCGGGGATCATCACAACAACCCCTAAAAATACATACTAGCATACGCATACACTCAACCCACACTCCCTAGAGGAAGGCTAAACATCACGAAATTGGTCGGCTGACCCCACACAACTCATCCATGAAACTTCCACCAAGCCCTTCATCAAACAAGAACAAGAAATACAGCCAAACCAAACATTCTCAAGCTATAGAATCTTAGTTATGTATAACTGTGATGCATATACTAGGAAACTACAATAACGATGTCAATTTCACATAAGGAAGAACCCAAGGCTATCAGGCATCATATAATCAGGAAATTCTATCATGCAATTCCTGAAGATCCCTAGCCTATCACTAGCATGTTGTTCTAACATATCACAAAAATCAAATAACAGTGTCGTAATTTGGGGTCTACTTACTAGCTCCAGCTGATCGTACACATTGCATCCTTTTTTTATTAATTTTGAAAACAATTTGAAAATCATTTTTAAAATCTTTTCCTTAGTTTGAGACTAGATTCACACAAGTGTTCCTCCAATTCACTCAAACCAAGGCTCTGATAGCAACTTGTAACACTCATAAAAATCATGATAAATTTAAACTTTTTCAAAACCAACCAATTTCACAAATTGTTTACAAACATATTTTTCAAAACATGTTCAACATCGAAGTCCCCTAAAATCACAAGTCAAAACATGAGGATGTGTACGGTCATGCCTTCACCTTCTTGCGATCATCTGAAGTACATCAAACATAACCCAAACTGTAAGCCAACGCTTAGTGAGTTTCCTCCAAACTACCAACACATAACATAAGCATAATACAGACAACATGCATACAGAGAACGCCCCACCGGCCTACAGTCTATCTGGTACGCTCACAGAACCTTCAGCATGACTGGTACGCCTCATTGGGCCACCTATCTAGAATGTTCTCCGGGCCTTCGAACAGACTGGTACGCCTCTCGGGTCTGCAGTCTATCCGGGACGCCTTAGGTTTCTTGGCCTTCAGTCTACACTGGTACGCCTCAACCCAACCACACATAAACCATGTCGACATATACATAACAGATAAGCATTCATATAATCAGCCAATAGATAATCAATCAGATCATATAGATCACTAAGCATAGCATCATCTTATCTAACAGGATACAAATCTAATAGATCACTAAAGCATACCAACATGCGATAAACCATGATAACAATCTAGTGGGCCGGCCTTGGTGCCTTTGAGCCAAAAGTACAGTGAGGAAAACTCACCTCACAGACTGAACAGAAGCTGATGAGGTCCCTGACTCCGAAACTCAGCTCTCTAACCGGCACCTAATCCCACCAAATACCAATTCCATTAAAATCCCAAAATACCCTCAATAGTCAACTGGTCAAACCTAGTAAGTCAACTGAGTCAACTCAGGGTGCGTACGCGGGGCGTACTCCTGAGGTACGCAGGGCATACACGAGGCCTCACAGATTGACCATCAATGGGGTGGTTGATCGAGTACGCGGGGTGTACCCTCGCAAGCCCAAAAATCTTGTTAAAAGCTTAATGGCTTAAGCTCTTATGTCCCAACTTCAGATCCATGGCCAAAATACACTCTAGAGTCATAAAGTTTCCAACTTTATGACTTTACATGCCTAATAAGAGCTTAACTCAAGGTCTTAATCCATTAAGACCTTCTACAAGATGCATGGAGCAAAACTAATCAATGAGACTTCATTTTTATAACTTAGGACCCCTCCTAGGGTTTGAAAAGACAACTCAAATCATCAAGAACATGTCATGCTCAAGATGAGACATTTGGGACCAAAAAACACATAAAAACAACACATAAGCAAGATCTATTAAACTAGCCATCAAGGTATGAACTTTATACCTTGAAATGATGGAGAAAGGTGCAAAACTTCCAGATCCAAGCTTTACTTCAAGCTTCCCAAGCTTCACCGCCACCTTCTTCTTCTTTTGGAACACTCAACAACCCACACTCAACCTTCCAAGGAATCCAAAGAGGCTAGGGTTTACAAGAGAACACATTTTTGCTAATGGAGGCTAAAAATTGGGGAAAGAATGGGACTTAAGGATGCTTAAATACTAGCCAAACCCTAAAAACTAGGGTTTCCCAATTTGGCAAGTACGCCCAGCGTACACTGATGGACACCCAACATACACTGATGTACGCCCAGCGTACTAGGGCGCGCTCTAGTACGCTCAGCGTACACCATGTACGCATGGCGTACTCTGAAGTCCTCAAAATTACAATAATGTCATTAGGGTTCCATTGCATACTTTCTTGAACAAAGGGACCAAAATTCAACATAATTAAAGGATTGAAATTAGAAGTACCTTGACATCAGGATATTACAGCTTTCCTGTCAAAGATCGAAATGAAGCTGAGTGAGTTACTTCATTGACTAGATTTTTTCTTTTGCCTACTTTTAGGAATTTGTTTTATCATGACTAGGCAACTTGACTTGCAAAAATAAGTAGTTTTTTATACTTAAAAATAGTTATGACTAAAATTTACGTAGGAAATAGTCTAACTGTCAATTTTAATCTTGACCATTATAACCTTGGACAAAAACTGAAAAAGAACGGTTCGATAGGACCAGCATTGGTAATATTCTCTTATACTTTAATTAAGTTTTATAATTTTTGTAAAATTTGTCATTTTTTTTTTCAAAATTTATATCAAAGTTAAAGGATAAGATAAATTATAATTTTGTTACTGTGTATAATTTGTTTCAACTTTTCAAGGGAAAATGGTCATTATTAAAAAAAAAACAAGGCTATTGACATAGACAACATGGAGACCAGAATAATCATGAACCCAAAAAAGGACTAAATTTCACAACAGAAAACTTTTTTGGTACTAAATATACAAAAATCAACAATTAAAACTATAAATTGATCGAAAAAAGAATTACAATTGTTGGGGATTTTGTTGGCTTTCATCACACCTTTGGGGATGCCTTTATCTTTTTCACCTTTCCAAATGAATAATATAATTCAATGCCTTTGTTATTTTGGGGTGTTGTTTGGTGTTTTTTTGAAATCTATATAAGTGTTGTTTATAATAGTGACCTGTAGGTTTTTTGCTGGTTCAAAGGATTGTTGTCTGTCCTCATTGGCTTAGTGTTGGTGCTGTTATTTTTGATTGACGTTGTGTATATTTCTAACATTTTTCATTGCTACATTGGTGATCGTTTTCTATTTATGCAATTCAAATATTTTGTATTTCATCCATCTTCCCGTTGACATTTAATTTAATTTTATGTTTTGATGTTAACTAGATGGAATTAGATGCGCCAAAGGCGTTGTGTACCCTTTTTTCATTATTTGAAACTGTAGCAGATAAGTAACCATATCAGATCAGGCATAATCAACAGGAGAGAGCCAAGCAAGGTCTCTGCTTAGTGCTTAGGCTTAAAATCTCTCTACCTCTCAAAGTCACCACTCCGTCCAGGTGTGGAAATTTGATGAAAGCATCAAAAATGTATTTTCATGGATATTTTATCAAACCTTAAATTTGCAACCGTCATTTGTATCTATGGCTTCTGGTGGATGTTCTGCCAACAAATAACATCCAAGAACAACATCTGCTTTTTTTTGTTTCAACACCCTTCAACATAAACTTTACAAAAAGAAATCTGTGAGATTAACAAACAAACCCCTTAAAATAACAATGACCTTCCCCTTCTTAATAGTTCATTACTATAATAATAACAATAAACTTTAGAATACTAAAAAGATTTGTTTTTTAAAAAAAAATTCTGAAACTAAAATATTGCATTGTACTTCTCAAATGCTCATATTAAGGCATCCTACTTTGATCTTAGGGAATGGAGAGGTTTATAGTTGGTTTTCTCATCATTTGGACAATTTTACCATTCTCTTCATTTTCTGTCCCACCAGCTCATCAATAGAAAAAAAGTTGATCGTCATCGATTTTATCGAACGCCCTGATAACATTCAATTACAAAATATAAATAAATATTTTATTAATCATAAGTCTATTTTAGATATTCTGCCAATTAAAATTTTTTTCTTTTTTGAGTAAATAATTTTTTTAAGTGATAAAAGAACTTTTTTTTACTATTTGGAATACAAATAGTACACCTAGTAATTTCACATACCACATTGTCCATCCACGCCAGGGCTTCGGCTCCTAGAGTCATTGTGTCTTCTATCATACTGCTCCATCTGTTGTCAATAAACCACATATCAACGTTCATGAATTATATAACTTTTGTGAGTAAAATTACATATTAAGAGGAACATTTTCAGGTCAAATTTACAGATTGTACGTATATAACCAAGTCTACAATCATGCATCTACCACATCAAATTATGTCACATGAAAAACTATTTCTGAAATGAGAAAAGGAAAACAGAAAACATACTATGCAGTATCTCCACTATTGATCCATGCTGGAATACTTCTGTTAAGGGATTTGCCAGTCAAGTACCTAATCATTTCACTTTCACAAAATAATTATTGGGATTAATAATTATTTTATTTTCCTTTTACCTCTTAGCAAAATCCTTGTATGCGGACTGTCCCCCAAAGCCTTTGTGCAAGCATACTAGAAAGAAAAAAAAATAATGTTAAAGATGCAAAGTTTTTCTAAAAATAATCTTGGTAACCCGTCAAGAAATGTGCATTAAGAATCTAAAATATGTGATAACGTAATATATAATACCTTGATTTTTCTGCCAAAATTCCTCTTTGTTTTCTTGTTCCTGTATCTTGAGAATGTTTGCATACGGTCTTCAATGGTTAGTGGTAATTGCCCAAGGGGAGAATGAATAAGGTCTGTCATAAAACAAAAACACTATCAATAAGAAACAACTCAAGTTGGTCTTTTTCTTGATTTTAGAATACCAGATAAGTTTGTGATTGCTTTACAGGACAGTGTTGTCGACGTGTAACAGGAAGCATCAACAAAAAAAAATAATAAAAAAAAACCTTAAAAATCAAGAACACATCATTGTTAGTGGCTTATACATTGTAGTTAAAAAGAAATAAAATTTGATGTATTTATAAAATAGCAAACTAATTACCGTTTTACCCTCATTCAAAAGGATTCGTTTGGAGAGAATCATGTGTAGTTGATGATTGAGTATATAGTTTAATTGTTGAAGCCTTTGCAGCACCTCTTTTTGGTTAAAAGGTTGTCAACAACACATCTCCAATCAGCACTGTCAATAATACAAAAGCAGATAATTATCAATAAATGGAGTGAATAAAAGTGTAAAGATTCAGTAAAAAAAATGATATAAAATTACCTGAAAACCACCAATGCTTTATCTCAATTCCACATATTTACCAGGGACACAGTAATAGATCGACAAGATCATAGTGCTTGGAAATCCTTGCATTCACAGAGTACAACAGATGTAGGAAACATTAACATTTGGTTGTAACATTTCATCGAGCACTTGGTGTGCATCATCAAACTCACTTTCAAATTTCACTATAAAGAATGAAAAAAACAAAATCCAAATTATATTGAAATCGAACAATAGCTTCGTTAAAATCCGAAATGAAAGTCTGCTTACCTGCAAATCGCAAATCGTCTGTGGTGTAGACGTCGAACAACTGAAAGTCACCTGAAAAAAAAAGATTAAAACTTAACAAAACAATAAGAGTTCAAAACTGGGTTTGAGAAATGGACCATCGCTTCGAATTTACTTCTTTTCTCTTTGAAGCCACAACTACGCTAACCAATTTGAAGATGACAGGTGCCATTAAGGCGATATTGGTTGAAGAACTATACGAAGCCAAAGAAGCTCTCATAGGTTGAAATATATCATTGACAGGTAGAACTCGCAACAAACATAAGTAATGAATGGTATGATGAATTAACTTACTTTTAGCAAAGCCTTACCTTGAAGAACTTCATAATTGAACTGGGGAATCTGTAAAAATAATAGGGAAGGAATAAGGATACAGAACATGATTTATCCATATCACCACCACCAACAGCGCCGAGATGAGATTTAGAAAAAGCGAACAGAAAACAAATAACCTTTATGAGAAAAATCAAACCTCTTAGTTTGTAGCCTTTCTTATACCGTCACCACCATCCACAAGAACAAATACCCCCAAACTTTATTTACGATGTCTCTCTCTCACTCGCTCTCTCTCTCTCTCTCTCTCTCTCTCTCTTCGATCTCACTCCGCCTTTGGGACTCCAAGACACAAATAGATTTTTGAGAGAAGAAGACGAACAAGGATTAAAGGGGAGAAAGATGGAAGGAGACGGAGAATTGGTGCGAAGAAGAAAGATCGAAAGACGAGTTAGAACGACACTCTGAGTGGAGGAAGAGAGATGAGGCGGTGGGATCCGGAAGAGGAAGAAAGAAAGAAGAAATAAGCAAAAGCGAAAGAAGTAGGGAAAATTTCATTCATATCCTTCTAAAACTTAAATATTATGTCAATGTCCTTATAAATTTTAAAATTACGTATATATCATTCTAAAACTATTATATTTACACATATATCCAAATTCATATTTTAGTTAAAATTAAACTAATATAATTATCTAAAATTAAAAATTATATATGATGTTACTAAAATACCCCTCTTAAATACAAGGAAACGTCGTGATCATAGAGTCTATATATGCCGATATATCCATGGACCATGAATGAAGGGTCAAGTCTCCTTCGATCAACACAAATTCTTTAACAAATGCTCATATTTTAATATTTGTGTTTGAAAACATTATTTATTCATCTATTATTGTGTTGAGATAATGTCCAATTTTTGTATTTGTATGTTTGCATTGCGTGCGATTTGTTGAGACGTGAAGATTTGATGGCAGTTTGGTAGATGGAAGATGTTGGATTTTTAAGTTCCTGGTTACATGATTTTTATTCCACTGAAGTTCCAAAAAAAACTTCATAATTTGTATCTAAGCTTGTACGTTAAGAAATGTAATTTTCTCTTAATTTGCCTCTATGGATTCTTGGAAAATTGTAAATGTATGAATATTTATGATTAAAATATCTTTTAACTCAACAATCAATCGGGATAGCAATGGATGTTTATCTTTTGTTAATAGTGATGATATATAGAAATTAGATCTGTAGCATTTAATAGGAATTTTAGTAAGGGTATTTTGGTAATATTATATATAAATTTGAATTTTAGTTAAGTTTTTTAATATTATATTAGATTAATTTTAATTAAAGTATGAGTTTGGATATATATATATATATTATATATATATATATATATATAACTATTATAGTTTTAAAATGACGTATACGTAATTTTAAAATATATAAGGATATTGATGTAATATTTAAAGTTTATAAGGATATGAATGAAATTTTCCCAAAGAAATACTACTGGACGAGGAGGGCGGCAATGGCAAAAATAGAAGATAAGAAGAAGAAAAGAGATTGAGATGCGTAGAGAAAAGAAGCAGAATGAAAGATCGGTGTCAAATTTTAAAGAGGAAAAAGTCGAGTGTCGGATTATGAAAGAGAAAAAAGTATATTGTAGGCCAACTTTTTAAGCTTTTATGTATATATAAATAAACTAATTTTGTGTTGATTTAGTGTTTGTATTTGCCTCTTTTTGTAATAAGTTTTGAATTGCATTAATATTTGTTTTTTAAAGTTCAAATTTAATGACTGTGATTGAAATTTTTTTAAAGTTCAAATTAATAAAACTTATTAAATAATAATAGGATATTATTAAAAAGATAAACAAATTACGTTTTAAAGTTGTTATTTGTAGTATTTCCATCTTTTATGGAAAATTTCTATCTAATATGCATAAAGATTTTTTTATCTATTTTTTTTATATTTTTTTACGAATCAACAAAAGTTATTTATATTGGATTGGATATTTATTTTGGTACAAAGCTAAATTTATATTGGATCGGATATAATTCTTTTTTACTAAACGCTAAATTTTAAACTCTAAGTCCTAAGCACTAAACCATAAATGCGAAACACGAAACCTTATACCTTACAAAAACAATTGACTGATACACTACGTATTTTTGTAATATGACATGTTTCTAAAACAAAGCTATTCGTCTAAAGGGAATTATCCGTTTAATGAAAACTATCTAACGCTCGACAAATAGAATCTAATTGACGAAAATCAGACATTTGATGGAAAAGTTGTGTCATTAAACACTTCAAACTGGACATTTCAGACATAAATAGTGATATTTCTTTGAAAAAAAAAACAAAAAAGAACTCCGAAATTTGATGATAAAATATAAAATGAGGCATTCGGTAGTAAGTGAACATTTTTCAAAAACTGAAAAAATTGGTATTTTTTTTAAAAAAACTCCTTTATATTAGTTAGTTTACTTCATATAATGTGTTAATACAAAAGTATTAGTGAACCCTGACGAACAATTCAACGACAGTGAAGTCTATACATCAAATGTGGTGTATAAAGAAGTGTTGCACGATTAATAATGTACAATCAATCATGTACTCATATACATTTGTAAAGAATCTAATATTTTCATTTTTAATTCTTATTGATTTTGTTTCTGCTATCATGACTTTTATTGATAATTGTTTTGATGTAATAAACTATTTGCACAAAAGAACTAATCGTCTCAAGAAACTAATATTTGAAAAAACTATTCGCACCCGTCGTTTGGTGCGGGTAAACGACTAGTATATATATATATATATATATATATATATATATATATATATATATATATATATATATATATAATATCCTTTTTTTTACTATTATGAGTCTTTTAAATGTCAAATCAACTCTTAGAAAACTATAAAATATCGTTGCAATTATTTATTTTGTACATTTTGCCCCTATATTTAATAATATAATTATATTGCATATAAAAGTTTTATTATTTTTAACTAATTAATCTACTTTGTTAAATATACAAAATAAAACGAATATAATTTATGAAAAAGTATATCATTAAATTTCAAAACAATCAAAATGAGATAAATATTGAATGTAAAAAACATTACAATATCAATATCTTTATTTATTTTTTATTTCTATTGTTTTTATTTATTTGAATATTAGTGTCAAGTGATATATTTTTAGAAATTTGAAATAAATGTTTTATTGATAAATAAGTTACATTTATAAAAATATGAAAGTGTTGATCAATTGAAAATGATTTTTGATTACTAGTTTTTACAATAAAGTAGTTGGAACAAATTTAATAAACGGTTTAGTTTTTAACTTATAAGCTAACTTATCAATAAACTATCTTAGATAGCTTATCAAAATGTTAGCTTTTCAATAAACTATTTTGTGGCCTTACCAAACGATAAATTGCAATAAACTAGCTTATACGCATCAAAGAGAACACTAGTTTAGTTTTAATATAACATGTCACAAGAGATAATGTTTCGATTTGCTTGTCCCTTGAAGTTTCAATAATTAGATGTTCAGTTGGTTAAAATTTTTGATAAATTCTAATCATACAATGAACTAATAGATTATAAAAAGATAAAATGGCACATTATGTTTTTATTTTTTTTCACTGTGGCATTGTATTATTTTTGTTCTAAATGGAACATTGTATTTTCAAATTTTGTTCAACTTGAAAAACTTCACCAAGACCCTCTCGGCTCTTAGGGTACCCGGTTTGTCATGTTAAGTTGGAAAATACAATGTCAAAAAACAATGAAAAACAGTTTTTTTTTAAGAAACAAAACTGGAAAATGTAGTGTCTAAATAAAATAAAAAATGAAAATTTAGTGAGTTATGTCATTGAATGGTATAGAAATAGAAGTGCTCTGTATTTTCTTCTATGCTTAATATGTCAAAGTAACATGGGTATATATACAGCTAGAAATAAATCACTAGCTAATTAACTAACCCCTAAATACACAGGAGACTAAGAATACAAGTTGAACAAGTCAAATAATTTCTTTAACATCGTGTCACTTTTATTTAAATGGAAATGAAAATGTCAACATTGAACAAAATTGAAAAATACATAGTCGAATTAATTTATTTATTTTTGTCAAAAAAAAATGAAAAACAGTGTCTTTTGTGTCGAATAATCAGTTTTATATCAACTACTTTTTAAATGTTTAGCGTTATATGAGATGCCTAAGTAAACAAAACAATTCACAAGCATAATAAACACACATGTAACATAGATAGGGATCGTGTTACATTTTATACTAACCAACCCATAATAACAGTGTAAAAATTAAGTAGAGCCAATATCTACATTCATACACAAAAAAAAAAAAAAAAAAAGGTAAGATTCAGTTATAAAAACTGGAACAAAGATAGAATAGATAGATGTGATGTGAGTTAACAAAAGCAAACAATTAATGCATTAACAAAAAGCAAACGAAACCAAAGCTTTGTTTATGAGCGAGGAGCTGTCATTTGTTGCTTCTTTATCCTCTCATCATGTTTTACCATGCTGCAAATAAATCAAGTAATTAAATTAAATAAAATAAAATGTGAACTTGTCCTAAATTGTTAAAAACATTTCTTTTGTAAGTAAATAAAGAAATGATTTACCTTATATCATGGGGTGTAATAAATATCCACTGGGATCCTTGTGCCAAAGCAAAATCCACAATTGTGTCCAAGCTTATTTTCCTACTCACAGCATCCTGCAATATCAATATAAAAATTATTAAAACTTAAAACTTAAAACTTAAAACCAAACCAAACCAGTGATTGTGTTTTTTTAATGTGGTTAAAAAGAGGTAATTTTACCATAAAGACATCAAACTCATCCATAGCTCGAAATGGAGCTTCTGTCATCTCATGAAGTGCAAGTGCAAAACATAGTGTTGAGAATGATCGCTCTCCTCCTGTTATTATAAACATACTTTTATAAATTAAAATTAAAAAAAAAAAAGATTTAAGAATGTCAAATGAAATAAAAAGGAAACCTGAAAGGCCTCTAGTGTCGCGAACGTTGCTGCTAGTTGCATCTTGGGGCATCTTAACCTGAACAATAATAAAGTAATAACCAACCAAATAAATTAGGGTTTAGGTATATTTACAATATTATCTGAATTTTGTAATATTGGTCCTAAAATGTTTTCTCTTGCAATTTTGTTCCCATGTAAACTCATCCTCTCTAATAAATATTTGTTATTTATAAAAATAGATAGGGGTAATATAGTCAGAAGCATAGACCAAAATGGTAACAAAATCCTCAAATAAGGAGGGACCAAAAGTGCAAGAGAAAACTTTTTAGGACCAAAATTGCAAAAATCAGCTAGATTCAAGGACCGGAATTGTATTTTACTCATGAATTATATCGTGAAGTTACTTGCCTCTATTGAAAGCTTCTGCTCCTCATAGCTAACTTTAATGAGCCCACTGATCCCCTTCTTTCTCAGATGCCCATTAAATCTAAACCACAGATATTAGTGAGAAAACAAATCAAGTAATTCTCTAGAAATTTT